TCAAGAACCACTGGGCCAATTTCAACCAAACTTGCCACAAAGTATCCTTGGGTAAAGGGGATTCAAGTCTCTTCAAACGAAGGGCCACGCCTTCTTCCAAGGGGAGATAATTATGAATTCATGAAAAATTAATGGCATCATTTAAAAATCTTCTTCTCAAGAACCACTGGGCTTGGAAATATGAAATTTATATAGAAGCATCCTCAGGTAGTGTAGATTCAATTTTGTTCAAATCGTGACCCCCGGGGGTAGGGTGGGGCCACAATGGGCGATTAAAATTTTTACAGAGGAATATATAGGAAAAAGCTTTAATAATCTTCTTCTCAAGAACAGCAAAGCCATGATTGGTCATACTTATATGGAAGCATCCTCAGGTAGAGTAGATTCAAGTTTATTCAAATCATGACCCCCGGGGGTAGGGTGGGGCCACAATGGGCGATCAAAGTTTTACATAGGAATACGTAGGACAAATATTCAAAAATCTTCTCAAGAACAACAAAGCCATGATTGGTCATATTTATATGAAAGCATCCTCAGGTAGTGTAGATTCAAATTTGTTCAAATCATGACCCCCAAGGGGTAGGGTGGGTCCACAATGGGCGATCAAAGTTTTACATAGGAATACATAGGAAAAAATCTTTAAAAATCTTCTCAAGAACAGCAAAAGCCATAATTAGTCAAATTTAAATTGAAGCATCCTCAGGTAATGTAGATTCAAATTTTGTTCAAATCATGACCTCCCAGGAGAATAGAGGAGCCATAACAGGGGATCATAGTTATACAAAGGAATAAAAATGATATATCAATAAAAATTGTCTTCTTAAGAACAGCTAGGCCCTTATTTGTCATATTAATTCAAAAGCATCCATATGAAGTGTAGATTCAAATTATTTCAAATCGACACCCTCCACCCCCTCGAACCACTTTTACATCAAAACTTTTCAAGACTGAACTGATTTCTGCTTTTTCCTTGCCAGAGTGCTCAGGAGAGCGATGTGGCCCCTGGGCCTCTTGTTCTAGTAAAATATCCAAATATGAAACAGATGTGTCAGACTCAGTGATATCTTTTATTTTAAGCTCATTGGAATATATCATATCGACCTAAGAATCGAAATAACCATTGCTAATTGACAATACGTCGTCGATATATCTAAATGTCGAGTTGAAGAAGGCCACAACAAATGTTTTCTTCTTTTCACACAAGATTTTGAGCAAATTCTGCTTCATATGAATACAAAAATAGGTCTGCTAATAACGGGCGCAATTGGTACCGACAGGAATTCCAATAGATTGTTGCAAGACCTGCATGGTCTCCAAAAACCACATAAATACTGTCAATCAGAAACTCAAGCAATTTTTTAATATTAACGTAAATTTACGAGTTCCATTTTTATTGAAAAAGCAGCTGTCAATGATATCAAAAAGCCTGGAGTTTGATTTATCGTTGGGGAATGGTTATATACAAAGTTGAAAAGTCGTAAGTTTTCATGTTGTTGATTTTGGTAAAATTTTGTGATTTCAGATTTTCCAAAAGTTCCTTGGAATTTTTAAGTATCCATATCTGATTTACACCACTTCTCGAATATATTGTTGCACAGTACTCCTGAAGTTTCTCCTTCACTACTGTTAATATTTTAGTGAGGAGTAAAGAAAGAGGCTTGGTAGAACAGTTACCGGAATCCGCTATGTATCTTTGTTTATAAGGATTTAATTGATTGTAATCACACTTATTGGTATATGACTGCTTGATTACTTTTATGAAGGCAAATATCTTAAGTATGTCAAAAAGGACACTTAAAAATTCAATGTTACAAAAGAAAGCCTATAGCTACTTGTGCATCCAAAAAAAAAGCAAATAAATTTCCAGTCAAGCTTAGATGCTTTTCATTACGTTACAAATGAAGAGGGTAAAGAAAACGACGATACATCTTATAATTACTGATGGGCGTCAACATACTATGTCAAAACTTGAATAGCCTGTGTTTGAGAGAACAAATTGTGCAATGTAATCTTAAGAGATAACCGTGTATCTCAATTATACGCGTGCAAAAGAGATTCGTAATCTAATAATCTTAAAGTATATGGATAGGTTAAAATATTTGTGAATGGTTCATTAACTGTTAGTTACATGTATTAAAACTACACTAAAAAAGCTAATTCAATTTCTCTCTCTTCAAACATCTAAAGAATCGAGTATTTGGAACCTCCTAATTCGATCCATGGAAATGTGTACAGAGAGCCTCTCTCTCCACGCTAAGATGATTTCCCCCCATCAGATGGAAATAAAAAATTTATAAAAAAAAACTTCGACATCAATCAAAGAGTTATCTCTCTTGGCAAAGGCCCATTACATCGAATATTAACAATGTGATTGATGTAGTAAACGATGAAATGTATAAATATTCAGTTGTATCAGGGAAAAAGCACGCAGCAGAATTAGCTACATGTACTATCCTAGCTATACATGTATAATATATACATAAATTCCTGTAAATTTGATTATTCCGTTCTTCAGTTTAAACACAAGGCTAATTAAAGACATGCAGATTTGTTCATTAAATATGTATACCTATTGAATATATAACAAGAGGCCCATGGGTCACAACGCTCACCTGAATAACTTTGGCCCTGCTGTTCTTCACCAGATGATCTTTTTGTAATACCTATTGTGGCCCCGCCCTACCCACGGGGATCATGATTTTAACAATTTAAAATCTACACTACCCCAGGATGTTTCCATATAAGTTTCAGCTTTACTGGCCAAGAGGTTCTTGAGGAGAAAATTTTTGAAGATTTTTCCTATATATTTCAATGTAAAACTTGGATTCCCTATTGTGGCCCTGCCCTACACCCAGGGGTCAAGATTTGAATTCTTTAGAATTTACGCTGCCCCAGGATGCTTCTACAAAAGTCTTAGCTTTTCTGACCAAGTGGTTCTTGAGGAGAAGATTTTTTTTTCTATATATTTCAATATAAAAATTGGATTTTCTATTGTGGCCGCGCCATGCCCCCAGGGGTCATGATTTTAACAATTTAGAATCTAAACTACCACAGGATGCTTCCACATAAGTTTCAGCTTTTCTGGCCCAATGGTTCTTGAGAAGAAGATTTTTAAAGATTTTTTTCTATATATTTCAATGTAAAACTTGGATTCCCTATTGTGGCCCTGCCCTTCCCCCGGGGGTCATGATTTTTACAATTTAGAATTTACACTACCCCAGCATGCTTCCACATAAGTTTCAGTTTGTCTGGCTAAGTTATTCTTGAGAAGAAGATTTTTAAAGATTTTTTCTATGTATTTCAATGTAAAACTTGGATTCCCTATTGTGGCCCCGCCCTGCCCCCGGGGGTCATGTTTTTTACAATTTAGAATCTAAACTACCCCAGGATGCTTCCACATAAGTTTCAGCTTTTCTGGCCCAGTGGTTCTTGAGAAGAAGATTTTTAAAGATTTTTTTCTATATATTTCAATGTAAAACTTGGATTCCCTATTGTGGCCCCGCCCTGCCCCCGGGGGTCATGATTTTTACAATTTAGAATCTAAACTACCCCAGGATGCTTCCACATAAGTTTCAGCTTTTCTGGCCCAGTGGTTCTTGAGAAGAAGATTTTTAAAGATTTTTTCTATGTATTTCAATGTAAAACTTGGATTCCCTATTGTGGCCCCGCCCTGCCCCCGGGGGTCATGATTTTTATAATTTAGAATCTAAACTACCCCAGGATGCTTCCACATAAGTTTCAGCTTTTCTGGCCCAGTGGTTCTTGAGAAGAAGATTTTTAAAGATTTTTTTCTATATATTTCAATGTAAAACTTGGATTCCCTATTGTGGCCCCGCCCTTGCCCCGGGGGTCATGATTTTAACAATTTAGAATCTACACTACCCCAGAATGTTTCCACATAAGTTTCAGCTTTTCTGGTCCAGTGGTTCTTGAGAAGAAGATTTTTTAATGACCCCACCCTATTTTTGTCTTTTCTTGATTATCTCCCCTTGTAAGGGGGTTTGGCCCTTTATTTTAACAATTTAAACTCCCCTTCACTCAAGCATGCTTTGTACCAAATTTGGTTAAAATTGGCCCAGTGGTTCTTGAGAAGAAGTTGAAAATGTGAAAAGTTTACAGACGGACGGACGGACAGACAGACGGACGGACGGACGACGGACAACGGGTGATCAGAAAAGCTCACTTGAGCTTTCAGCTCAGGTGAGCTAAAAAAGTACCTTTTTTTCTTTTTTAACTGTGGACTTTTTTTTTTTTTTAAATCTTGAATCAAAGTTTATGAAACTCGGTACACATGCATACATACCTTCTTTTGCTGGCTATTTTAATTACAATTCATGCTTAACAGTTTTTAAGATGCCCTAATAATGGACAAATACCAAAATAAATCACTAACCATTGATAATTCAGAGGCAAAATTCATAAATGGATTATAAATCTTGTCTAGTCGATCATTTTGGCTTCTTACACTGGTGCTAGCAAATTTAAATAAACAGCCAAAAACTATTCAGATAACAAAATGCGTATCATAACTGTGGGATAAAAAATCTTATTATGTCATCCATTTCAAAACTGGATGTACAGATTTTATGAAACTTGGCAAGAAGTTAGGTCTTGCCATCATAATAATTTTTCATCTTGCTAGATTTTGCCTTTCTTCTCATTTCACTCTGTGTTTTATTTATGTAAACAATGGCCTTGATTTTCATTGGATCAAAAATGAAAATTGGATCCTTGAGTTTTGAGAAGGGCATGTACTGGTTAAATAATGAAGTCTCAGAAAAATCTGTCGAGGTTTTTGAAAAAAAAAGTTTACGATGACAACAATAAACTCCAAGTGATTGCATATATTAGTTCCTGGTCAGGTAAGCTATACATAAAAAGTTTAAAAAGTGTCCGATTCTATAGCTCACTTGTTTCACTGTCAGGGAATTTATTTCAATTCCCCATGTGGAAGCTCGTATAACAAAACTCATCGTTCTTAATTTTGATGAAACAAGATGCAACTTTTCAAAAATAATTTATTACAAAAAAATAAATTTTTCATCAATATACATAAATTCATGCAGTGTTAATAGACACCTTCGAAAATATTCCAACTTTGTTGAGTATTTTCTGGTCACTTGCATTCAAAATGAGTGAGGTGGGGTAGGGTTGCGGGTGGCTGTATTTCTTCGGTATTATGAAGAATATTTTTTTTTAATGAGTATAACAGGCAGAAATAGCTCTGAGGAACTCTTTGGCGACTTATATAGAAGAATAAAATTAATAAATCCTGTTCCCACATTGTTCATTTAAAAAAAAGAGTACAACTTAATGAAATTACACATTCTCCTCTAAGGAGCGCAGATCGCGAGCCTGTGGATCTATATAAGGCGACCAGCTTTAAATAATTTGGAGAAACTTGTATTTACGAGTGAGTATTCAATTTCAACATCAGATTACCTTTCAAATAAGTGTCACTGTGATTAATAATCGAGGATTATTTTTTTTTTTGGATAAAAAGTTGTCACAATATGAACTTCAGATATTCATTTTCAAGAAATAATGGTAAGAATATTTCTAATATAATTAGTAAGGATCAAATTGAACATATTATCACAGAACGAGTTTAATGCAACGACGAGACAAATTTGCCATAATCATACCAAAAAAAAAAATGAAGGAAAGTCATACGTTGTACATGTACTCCTTATGTAAAAATATTCTGTTGAACACATTTTTGCATGAACCAGCACGCATAGAACAAATATTGCATTCACTAACACACACAGTTAAAAAAAATACATAAATACATCAATCAGAAATCTGTTACACTGCACTTTTGTACTAGCAGTATAACAATGTATCCTCCACATCCCATGCCAGAGTTGAACTGAATGGGCGCATACCAGGAATGTTCGTGTAAATAACTTAATCTGCAATTAACAAGCAACATCCGCAATAAATTAAGAAACACACACAACCTTTCATATCGTGGAAGTTCGCAGAGAGCCTTCCGAAGAGTCCGAAGTATTTCCACTCTCCTGTTTGTGAGAGACGACCCCATTCTCTGCCGTGTGATTTACAGTAATATTGAGGTTTGGAATTTTGTCTGAAGGGGGATTATAAAACTTGTAGGCCAACACAAACATAATAGCTGCCAAAATCTTAACACACATCAAAATAATAAAGAAGTTTTGACTTAAAGCTAGATTGTCGTAAATCCAACAGGAAGCTTGTTCATTGCATTTTTCCTTCCACACTAAACATGTACTGTCTATTACAACACCAAATAAAATAGGTCCAGGTACTGTACCTGCGGAAAAAAAGATATTGCTATTAGAACGCAAAATCAAGTGTTTTTTTTTTGGATAAAACCATTTAAGGTTCAGTTTAAACTGAAATTTGTTTTTTTCTGTTGTTAAGTTATAGTTTCATAAAACCTTACCTAGCAACCTAGCAATAAACCACTGTATACCTAACGCAAAGGTACGTTGACTATCATGAATGCACCTGAAATCAAATATACATACCTTTAAAACAATATATTTTATGCCCGATTTTGAAAATGTTATTGCTTTATTTATTGCACTGAATTACAAAGGTATCAAAATGCAATAAGTACCATACTAAACAATTTTTTGCAAAGAAAAAAAAAAGAAACGTTGTTGTTGTTTTTTCTTCAAAGTAATTAAAGATACTAGTATATCATCTAAATGGATAGGTAAAGAGAACTTGTGTTTACCTTAACGTGACAGCCACTGATGGAGGCGATTCAACGAATCGGAAAAAGATGGATAAAAGTAGAATGGGTAGAAAAATGTACATTTTGAAGCAATCAGAATTACATTTGCCCTTCTTGACTGAAGCTAAACTTGACTGCGTCAGATTGGACAAACTGTATTGACTTGTAGCAGCTAGACACGTGCAATGTGAATAAGTCTGAAAATTGAAAATAAAAACCGTTTCACCACATTTCTATGCCTACCAATATAATGTATTACATTTTTATAAATAGTTTGCACTTTTGGGTGACGTGGTCTTAATTGCGTCACACCAAACTATCAGAATAGCATATGCTGTTCATTTCGCATCAGAGCATGAAAAATAAAGACAACGAACAGTGATCATGCTCCAAAGGCCATTGAAATGATACAATTTGTGAGCAGAGTAGACATGGACCTCTAAAAACATCAGAGGTGGGATCAGGCGCCATGGAGGAGTAAGCATCCCATGTCGCCCAGTTACGCGCGTTTGTGCTCTAAATTTGTCATGATCGGGTAAAAGGAGAAATTCATTATCATAAAGATTGAAAATAATGGACCTAACAATTTGTGTTAGCATGTGTAAGCATTGGAAAAGTCGGGTATATTTTATAGTTTTTTGAATTTGGTGCATAGAGCGTTTTTACGATCAAATGGTCAGGTTAATGCCATCCCATCGTTAGCAACATCCAACAATCCAAACTATCAGTGAAATGGCCATATTTATGTATGTGTAATAATAATATGGGTGTAAATGTAGCTAAAAAGTCGAGAAGGTAAAATGATTAAGATATTCTACTTACGCCGTCTGCACTAGCTTTTCCTGAACAACCTGCATGACACGGTGAAAAATACTGAATGTTATTTTCACCACATACTGGCTCATATAGCTCTGTGGTACAGGAGCAATTATTGTTGCATGTTGATACTAAGCCATTCTGGTTTTCTCTGCAATTAAATTTCAGATGTCATTTTAATATCCTGACAACATTTATAAATAGACAATTTGCAAAATTGAAGGTTTATGGGAATTGTACCAAGAAAAACGATACAGATTAGAAAAAAAGTCAAAACTGCGTGATTACCCTTGAAAATATCCGACATTAACACCTGCAATATCTTCAAGATCACATCTGACCCAGACTACAGCATCCAAAAGTAGTGCAACGATGCAGACAATGACGTTAAGCCGCAGCATGCCCTGTACTTTTAACTTCCACTTCTTACAAATAATCCCTCCTACAAACTGCCCCCCTGCAGCCCCAGGGACTGCAACCACTCCTATTATTTTTTGAAGAAAAAAAAAGTTTGAGATACTTTTCGACAGAAGTTTAGAATCATGCTTGATATATGATATTGGTAATGTTATATACACTAAGTCAATTTTATACCTGCTAATATCGCTGCCCACGCAGCGGAGACACCAAACTGATTCTGAATAAATTTCGGTAGAAATGTTGCCATTCCCGAGGTAGAAAATCCCTCGAAGGTTCCAGCCAATGAAATAAACAGGAAGGCTGGGTTTTTCATAAGGATCCAGAAGGATTTTGGCATATCCTTGATGGATTTCCCAAGCTCTTTTTCGCTTTTCTCTGCTGAATTGTCCATGTGTGTTTCTGTCACACGGGTCTCTCGCACATTCTGTGCAGCTGGGAATAAAACAGGTAAAACGTAAGTATAGGATTTTTTTAAATATAAATAACGCATGCATAAAAGGTATTAATTAGAACAAAGCTCAATACAGGTTTTACAAAACATACTTGGTAGTTCTGTCCCATAACCAAATATTGGGATTGAAACTACTAAAAAGAGCACAGAGGCTACTGCAAAACCAATCCACCAGGCACCAACCCATCGGGGGTCATCGGGAGTTATCGATACGCTGAAACGAAAAGAAAGTCCAAATGTCCACTCATTACTGATACATACTACAGTACCACCTTAACTCACAGAAATATCGTTAAACCTAGCTCACCTGTCTACTTCATGAAAATCAACGTATATGTCAAGTAGTCGTCCCCCAACTACGTAACCGAGAGCGGGTCCCAAGGTGGCGAATGCGTACATAATACCTAAAACAAATGATTTCTATATGTGTTTTCATTATCTTTACAGTAAAACCTATGAAGGCTCGAAATACCACACTTTATTTCTTTTTGAGTGATTTTGCAAATGATTTCTATAAGCATTTGAAAAGAAAAGCAGAAGCGGTAGAATTCTGAGAAAGTTACGGGATTAAAAAAGATATATTTTGATATATATAGCAGGTGTTATAGAGATGAATCTTACCTACCAACATATAGGGGAGAGGCAGCGGAGGGTACACTGTCATCAATTAGAGCCACGCCCACAATGTACAGGGTGGTTCCCCCGATACCGTGGAGGGTCTGCCCAAGAAGAAACACATAAAGGTATCGCTGCAGTAGGTGCTCATTGTCCGCGGAACAGGAGCTTTTGGCGAGCGCCGCGGCAGCTGGATCTGAAACACAAAGAGTTTCAGAGTAAAACACAGAAAAATTGCTGAAAAGATGGGAATGTTAATTAGGCTGAAATCATATATTCTTATACACATGTACAGTGTATGTTCATTATCAAGAACATGGCGATGTATGCACTTCAGTTAAATTTATTAAGTTCTGGGGGGGGGGGGGACTAAATATTCATATTACATTTATTTTAAATCAAAATGACATTTCCAAAGTGTCGATTGATACGAACTTGAACAAATGATTAAATCTTTATTCGTAAGTGTAAGTAAAACACAAATTATTACTCATACTGGGAAAAAGATGTCAAATATAATTTACCTACTCTGCAATAATGAATTGCATTGAGTGCAGTTCGCAAAATACACGTGCGGACACGTGCTTCATTGAATACGTATACAAAATAACTTGTTTAAGCTCTTAATATGATGATCACCGTTTAAAGAAATAGGTCATTATTATCATATCAGCCTTTTCATTATTTTAAAAAAAAATCATCACATGAGTGCATTATACATATTGCACCGCAAGGTTAAACTGTGTCATAGGAGCAAACGTTGTTAAACGTGAATGTCACAATTCTTCAGGGTTTTTCAGTAAACCCTAGGTGAACAGTATATATGGTACTCCCCTGTACCCTGGGAGAGTTCAAACATACATGATAATTGCGTAATTTTCCCAAAACAATTTACTAAATTCGGATGTAAAACAAAATTTGGCATTTCATTTCAGTGTCTGTATAGCGGTTTCCCGTTAATGTTTATAGTTCATTATCATCCGGAGGGACATTGTACTGAACTAACATTAAAGACACATTTAGAGTGGTGTCGTGAAAAGGCTGATTCCATCGGATCCTCACACGGATAAGGACGCTCCTAGAAACCCCCCTAGACATGTAAATTTCACTCCAGAATTTATAGAAAGTCAAATCATTTGATTTTCTATTGAAATACAGCCTTGAATATATCATGTGACAAACGATTTGTTGATATGCACATTTTTGACTTAACGTCCTTGATTGGGGGTGATCCGAATCGCTTTCTCCAGTCTAAGGAGGAATTCTGCATAACTTCAGATACACAAGAGTATGGTTTAAAACAACAAGTATGCAATGAATTCACTTTACGTATCAAAATGATATCGTGTTACAGAAAAGTTTATCGTATATGTTACAGGTACTATATATTACAAATGTAAGCAAAATGTCTGAGCATCATGCAAAGTTATATTAAACATCTTAATAACTTTAAATATTACGAGTACTATAAGAGGGAAAATGACAAATTGTACAGGGAAAAAAAACGAACATAATGGTCGAATGTTAAATATTAACCTAAAAGCACTAAAGGACATGTTATTTCAAAGGGTACCTCAAAATTATATTGTGGCTGTAGATAACTCAGGTGCAATATAGATAACCTTTAATTATATATTACAAAAATGTCCTTGTACATTTTTCAGATTTAGGTATATTTAATTCAGAGGATAAAAATACGGAAAGAAATATAACCCAAAGACATTCGTACTTTAAGTGACATTGAGGCGTACCCCTTAATGCATTGTCACGTTTGTGTATACATATGTATGATGCACTTTCAAGCATAGGTAAGTTGAAAAAAAAAAATACAATTTCTTCCTTTCATTTCATTTCTCCTTTAATTAAACGAATTTGATGTCTTATTGCCCAATCGTGTCGGACACAGTTGTTCATGTTCATCAGGCACATGGGCAAACGAAGGGACTGGCAGATTTTAAAAGTGCGCATTCCATAGCTTCACGAAAATAAATGCTCTACTTATAACTTATATAGGAAACTACAAATAATAAAGTTTGTCACCGATTAACACGGAAAAAACAAGGAAATCTCGACTTATCCTTGTTAGATCTTTAAGGAAAAGATCGCCGCTTCACGCTACCAGTCTCCGTACAGTTTTTCCTGTTACTCAATGAATTGACGATAGAGAAATCCCCCTTCTGTAACTGATATTTGAATCCTAAGATTATGACTCAAAGATGATATTGTGGCTATTAAGATCGGTCTTGAAACAATAAAAGTGCAAATTCTTTAAAACTTTGTTAGAGCTAAGAAGTGATCTATAAATATATAGTTATACTTCTTTTACTTGTATTAGTGCATAGAAAATAAATTACGTGGCATTTTTAAAATTCTTTTGGTACTCGATGTTCCAAAATAATCATTTGCACCAAGTTAAGTTCTAACGTTAAGATTTATCCAACTTTTTTTTACGACAAAAATTTATTTTCTCCGCGGGCACAAAAATATATTTATTGGATATGTATTGCAACACGAAAAGAATCAGATCCAAGTCAGTTCTAATTTAAGGTTCATAAACCCTCTGCTCACTCATATAAAATTTTGCTTTAACTTTTATAATTTTCCGAAAGAAAATTTTTTGATAAGTAAAATACAAACAATTATACTATAGCTTACGAGGCAAAATTGAACAAAAAAGACATTTCAACTTTACAAATCTATAAAGGAATAACAATCTTTTATGTCGTTAAGAGTTATCTCTCTTATCGGAGTATCAATGAACCTTAAAATACAACAAAAGAAGAAAAATATTATATATATTTTTAAATGTACAATGTACATAGCAATCTTTCTGTCAAATACCGTTATGAGTTTCCAATTTTTCTCCATTACAAAGTTGTGGCCTCGACAGGACAAGCGGGCGGATAAGGTGATTTCAATACACATGTAACCTCCACCCAATTGTTTAGGGGGTATCAGATAAAAATTTATTAACAGCTACTGTAGTAAAACTACAAATAAAATATACCAATGGTTAACCTGAAGACAAGGACAGTTACCTCGACAAGATTCTGCCAAATTTTGACCCCATTCATACAACCCTGTTGTAAAATGTGGAAGCGCCATGATGAAAGATCCCAATGACATCACTAGACAAGCACAGGCAATCATACGAGGTTTGTTTTTTCCCGAACCGAAGTACGAGATGATAATGCCCAGAATGGCCGCCGAGACATCGTAAGCGCTCGATATGGACCCCACCCGTGAACTGGGCAGTTCAAATCGACGTTCTATTGAGGTAGTATTTACATTATTTATACCATTCACAACAAAACCTAAAAAAAAAAAAATGAAATAAAAATTGTAATATTGACTCATTTACATAAAAAAAAATGCATGACCCGGAAAATGATGTACATATATATGTACTAAATAATGAAGGATATATTGCTTTCTAGAATTACATCAAATTTAGATCGCATATATCATCTTCAAAGGAGATTGTGACATGTTCTCTGCGATACAGTGTATTATAAATCATTTGAATTTACTCTCTCGACAAATAAGCATGTCACCCACGCGTTCGCTGAGCTGCTTTGATTTAGAAAAGAACGACTGATCGCAGTTTGCGCACACATGGCAGAGGCCTTCATATTTAATCCGACTGACATACCGGGGTTATAAAAAAACATACCTCCTGGATGCCAGTGGATTAAAACAATCTGAAGGCCCATGATTTAATATTAAGATTTGCACAACGAAACGTACATTTCTTTTACCATAGAATTCTTACTGGAAGTATGTGGAGCTCCTTACCTTGTAACGTACAAAAACAACAGAGGAAAAATAATAAAGCTTTGGGGTTGTTGAATTTTTGAAGACAATCCGGGGAATACGATCCAAAACCGCACCGGATTCCTCGGACATTTTCCTCTTTCATATGCATGGGTTTGGGTTTGACCGACATATTTCCATTCACATGAACTCCATTCACAGTCCCGTTTGCCGGCGAATCTGAATCCGACATAACTTCGAAGTCAGATTCAGTCAGGGGAAGTAACTCGTCGCCATCATAGGCATTCCTCTCCCTTCTGTCAGGGGGGTTGAGCTGAAAAAAGGGGGAAAATTAAAAAGTTATTTTGAAGAAAAAATGCCGAGTAAAGTTGTGGTTATCATATTTATACCCTATATTTATGAGTTACCTGTTAAATGTATCCGAGGAAATAACAAAAAAGTTTTTGTGTTTGTACACAGTAAAAATTCTCTCCTTTTCTCGATCAGGTTTAAGAAACATTACCAATGGAAGCAACAAATTTGATGTTGTATACAATATAAAATACGTATGAAAGAAACACTTTTCAGTCTGCCCCTTAATATATACTTTTAATGAACAAAGATAAGGAAACAGTAATTGTCATGGGGCGTTTGACTCTTACAAGTTTCTTTAATGACTTAAACCACTTTTGTACAAGAAAGGTTTCAATGGTTAGTGATGATTTCCTTTATTTCAAGTAGCGCCATCATTATTGCCCCTGGGGGCGCGACCTCACATGTATTACTCGTCAGTGAAATAAAATTTGTCAATGTACTGGTCACAAATGGATTGTGGGTTCTCTACTTTAATGTAACAAAAAGGAATGGGAATTGATATATTTATAAAGTTATTGATGCAAGCAGTTATGTACTCGTGAAAAGCCCTCAAACCCAGCTGATCATGTAATTTATCTACAAATCTGATACCTTTTTTTACCTTCTTTCTATTTTTGTAAACTAAACTAAATGTAGGTATGTAATCATTTCACTAATACTTAAATTTACAACTACACGTTCACTCTCAAATGCTCCTCTTTGAACATCCAGACTATAAGAAAGAAAAAAATAGAAATGTGTACGTAGGATATGAATACCCAGCCCAATGGTATATTTATATTGCAACATGAAAAGAAATATAATTCCATCTCGGTCTGAGCTAAAGTATAAAATGATGAGAGAAAAAATAATTTTCATAATCTTTTTCACACAGGTTTGTAGTTTTTGCTTCATCTTTATCTTACAGCTAGATGAAATCTCGTTGTTTCAAGTTCATTCTCACAGACATGTACACAGCAAAAGTAGGTGTGATTGAAATGCTCTCCTGGGAAAATACCTTTCAATGAAGTTGTATGAAGTTATACTTTAGTTATCCTTTATGAATTCAACAACATAAACTACCGGTAACAGTGGGGAAAACTTCAAATTCAAGGTTACAGAGAAGGTCAAGGTAAGTGATTACGACACAGTTGAATGGTAAATGCAAAACAACGTCAAGGTCAAGGTTAGAATATAATAATTCAGTTAAATCACTTTTACCAAATAGGTATCTTTGTATGGAGTGTGATGAAAAAACCCTTTAAAAATGAAGTTCAAGGTCACAGAGAAGGTCAACCCCAAAATAATGAACATGTCTATTTTTTTCTCATTTTGTACCAATGTATGAAGTCTAATGATAGCATCTGGAACATCTTTTTGAAGTAAGGTGAAAACAAGAAATAGTGGTGCAAGAGGCTGTAGTAAATTTCAAGGTCCGGATAAATTATGACACGGTTGAATACGAAGTACCTCTCACAAATTTGTATCAGTAAGTGAAATTTGGTGAAAATTCTTCAAGAGTTTATTTGAAAATAAGGTAACCACAAAATAATGAAGCAATGTCATATACATGTGGGAGGTCAAGGACAGAAAATTATGACTCAATTGAATAGCTAACACTAAAATACATGTATCAGTGAATGAATTACGAGAAAAAAAATATACATTGTACAGAAGTTTTCTTAACAGTTGGGCTAAACGCAAACTGTAAAAATTATGTAAGGTCAAGGTCATAAAATTATAAAACTTGAGTAGAGCTCCTTTCGATATGATTTAATAAATACAACTTGAACAGCAAAGAGTCGCGAACTTACAGACAGAAGATGGACTTGGGAAACATAAACTGTCCCGGCAATATTCATGAGGGACCATAAAAAATAATAATTTAAGATAAAAAATATTAATGAAAGATAAAGGTCTGTGTGGTACGCAATGCACAAAACTTATGGTTGACTTATCAAACTCATGTAACTAGATATTTTTAAAAAAAAAAATAATATCATAATGACGAAATTTCAAACGAGACCCATGGATATGAGTAAACAAATTATATCTTTATACTACAGGGAAACATTTTTTTTAAAGTACATCCTTCTTTAGATGTGACACTCTACGACTGATTGGCATTTCTAGAGGACGGATACAGTAGCACAAGATCGTTAAAGTTTGTTCTTAATCGTGACATAGTTAAACGTTCTCACACATAGACGGGCTATACTGCACATCTGACACGTTCACAGGAAACTGTTATGAATGACGGAACTTTTAATGAAATTAATTATATTTCTTTAAAAAGGATATAAAAATATAGGGTCAATTAAATCTTGGCATTAATTAAGCTTATAAGAATATTGTCATTAAAACTAGCGCTTATTTTTGGATGCGGATGTGAAATGCAATGAAGCTCACTTGAATAACCCTTTATAACACTTTCTAGGTCGAAGTACTTAAAGTAATCCGTGCTACTATTCTTAGCAACCTTAAATACAAGTATAAAACAATTAATCATGGAACCCTTCGCCAAAGTCACCGAATGACACATTTTTTGACATTCCAAGACATATCATTATCACACAAAGACTTTGAATTTACCTTGAGTCGAGTCATGGTGGAAAGTGAGTATTCAAAACAAATTAATATAACACATCAACGAACAAAAAAATTTGATCGTACTCCTTTAAGGAGAATGCAACATATTAATATGATCAAAATGTTTATAATCTCGCGTGGATATACGTTATCTTGTGACATAACACATGCTCCTGATTAGACTGACAGTTTGGCGGATCCATATCAAAACCACAGCTCCGGAAAAAGGTCAGAGAAAAGGTCAAGTGGAGAGAACCGCAAAATGATAATTCTATACTGCATTTGAGACTCGCATGAATGTGAGAGCAAGTCTATGATATGTGATAGATAACAGAGAAGCTAAAAAACTACATACATCTTAATTGAAATTCAGAATATTTTTTCACTATGAAGTAAACTAATGTATTTAAAAATATATGTCATCTTTCGTATGGAAATCGTTCAACTTGAATGGTTTTTAAGCCGAATTTAATTTATGGCTTTTATAACGAAAAAAGAAAGAAAATATCGGTCGTGGAATTTGTGAAATTGCGTTACATACGACTTTTTTTTAATGAGATTTCAAAGGGCTGACTATATCAAAAATTATCATTTTTAACCCCTAAAATGTTATTCAATTGTGAACAGCTTATAATGATACGGTATCTTAAACCCCCAATTTGTCATTTTATAGTTAACTGACAATAAAAAGGATTCGCTAAAATTTGATCAAAATGTTCCACTATTAAAGAAAGGGTGCCTAGTTTCAAAAGGTTACACACGAATGAGAGTTTTAAATAAGCAGCTTCATTTTTATATAAATCTTATTGTGGCCTGGGGCCTTTGTGACCGAGCGCAACAATTATAAAGGTATTAAATTGCAATTTGAAGTCAGTATCCATCAAGAACACCGCGTCTTTTCTTCTGATTGGGTGGTTTCTTTCAAATTTTCTACCCGTGTTGCAGGATCAGGCAACGCATGCAGAGAATTTTTCGGATGTTTTGTTTTTGCATCTAAGCTAGAACATAAGACGTCTAGTTCAGTAATCATATAGTTTCATTTCTTGTCCCGATTTAATATAACATTTTATCAAATTTTATAGTCAGTATCTTTTCCTCCATCACAAAGTCTATCTTAAGTAGGAGACGAATAAATAAATAATGAACACATTATCAGATAGGACTTTTTATATATACCTAGCTAATTGAATTTTATCTACAATTCGAACAGATAAAACCTTTATATATTGCTCCGATTTGAATTAAACGATTTAAAATACATATGCTAAGCTGCTACCATTTCCGTCAAAAACAAACATCAAGTTTGACATTTGTTTACATTTTACGAGTATACTATAATATTCATTGTTTTGTCTATGTACACACTTGTGTTGATTTAGAATATGTCAAAATATTTAAGAAAAATATTAAAGTTGCTATTGAAACAGCAGTTTTACCATTTAATTAAAACGTTTTTGTTGTTAATCAAATAGAGAGAGGATTTGCTGCTTTTGGCATGATGACTGAATGACCATGATTTGAACCCCCATATGTTTAAACATAATCCTTAAACAGGCCTACAAACACTGTTAATCCTCAGTGAAAAGGGGTTCTTAAGAAAACTTTTAAGGCCTCGCATTCATAAGGCAGGATGAGAATGCAATAATTGATTGCACGATATTAAAAAATAATAATAATAAATAATATCACAATTTAACTGATAAAAAAAAAAGAAATTTGACATATATTATATAAACTCACCGCCATTATTGTTAGTTTCGCGCTATAACTGTCAAACAGATTCACTCATTATAATTCCGCATCCATACGATCAGGTAACTATACAACACTGACACACTCTCTGGTAAAATATGATGAGAGTCGCGCTTCCGGAGGGCAAATATAGGACAAATTCTATTCACAATACTCAATGAGGCGCGAGATTTCAAACGTATACTTCTCGCTCACAGCGAGAACCATCTCAGTTGAAGTGGACAAAGCTAAGATTCCAGTTTAGGACACATTCATACAACAAAATACAAAAAAAAAAAAAAAAAAATAGTGGGCGTATTTTAAGTAACAAGTAAGCTATTTAAATCCCATTCTGCAAAAATATTTGGATTATGATCTTTATGGCCAAGAGAAGTAAGCATGGTTCTACGTAATTCAAAGATTAACTTGAACATGTTGAAATTCTTTGAACTGTCGGAATATTTAAAAGGTTCTAGCCTTTTCGCTAGAGACAGCCAAATACCACATCAGCAAACTGGACATCGACCCCACGAATTTTTGGCTGTATCTAATCAAGCTCGAGATAGAATTAACAAACATGGTATTGTATTTTCATGTATAGAGTAACCTGATACCCCGAAAAAAAAACATATACTGTTTTTGTGTCCTAAATCGCTCCATGTAAAGCGAGGTACAAAAACAGCCTGACTCTATCTGAAATGGGAAACTGGCCGTAAACTTATCGGCCCCTGCAATAACATTTTGTAAGTTAATTTCACAGGTGGGGGAAAAGGGCTCTCAATAGACAAGAAATTGGAGTCCAAATTGAAATATAAGAGAAATATAGAACAATATCTCATTTTCATATTCTCAACATGGTATGAAATCTTAACACTGTGTAATATTTTTAAGAACTTAAAAAAAAATATCTGCAGTATTTGAAGTGCATGATACAGGTGTTCATACATTAAACTTGCTTGTCAAAATGTGTACACAGTGTTTATATTAAACTCCGCATGGATGCATGCATGCATTCCAGTGCAATGCAGAAAAAATGTCTTTATAATGCATTTTCTATAATTAACTTGGAACAGACTATTTTTAAAGCATCGCGACTTTCTGGCTCTAATTTTGAATGTAACCATATGTTTATTGCATAATAAACCAAAAAGTAGACATGAAGACATGAACTCCGTCTAAAGTTAAAATGAATATATATACATGTATCCAGCTAATAAATGGTCTCGTAATCTTCTAGTTCTTAGGCATTACAAAGATACAATCTTTCTTTTTGTACTTTCAAACTAGTTTGCTATCTCCAACAAAATATCAGTTGCTGAATTGCAGAGATTTACACAAATAAATTCTATAGGTATTACTTTTTTCTCTCTCCCTACAGAAACTCTCATGATACGTAATTTAAGGGGGGAAAACCCCGCTAAACACAACCACTGGATGTGTAAAGAAAATAGCATGCATGTTGATTTGTCATATCTGAACAAAATACCGGAAATACAATGTTTAGTATACAAAAAAATTACATTGAAATCGTGTAAACTGAAACATATCTTAATTAAATGACAAACTATGGGGGTATTCGATTGCATTTAACGGAAGTTCGTACTGCTTTGCGGGACAAACACAATGAAAACATAAACAGAAAAAACAAAACAGAACAAAAAGCATATAAAAATTGTTATATTGGACATTACTTCGACAATTCGATCCGCGCGCGAGTTTTTATATATATATTTTCTTACTATAAGTGAGCTTGACATTAGAAGCAAGAGACAATGGTCGTACAAATGATGTACCTTCCAACCTTCTAAACGTAAACTGTGCCAGAGATTCATACATGTAATTTATAAAAGTCCCAAGAATAGCGTTAACTGTGTGGTCTTACTGGGTCGGTCCCTTTGTGAAAGGGCTGTCAAAAAAATACTGGAGGAAAAGCATTAGGAAATCACATCACCGAATGCAATTTGAGGATTCCACTTAAAAAATTATTGCGAAGTAAATGTACATGTACAAAAAAAATAAATAATAAATAAAGATTGTTAAACAATAACAATACACGTAAGTGCTAGGAATCTCGAACTTTATGGTCATCTTAAGTAAAACACTTAGAAATACATGAAGCCGGTTCTCTTTCTTCCCCCGTGGGAAACTTTAATTTGTAGTTGTCCGTTAGCCAGATAATCAGTCCATCACGCTTAAGTTTCCAATTCTCTCTCAAGAAAAAAATTAAACTTTATATGTAATCTATCGGATGAGCAAAAAGCCAAAAGGTTAACCTAAAAACCCTGCAACATATGTTTCCGGGGCGATAGCATGTTCATGTGTTTTTTTAACTAACACTTTTTTAAGGATAATAGATGGAGGCAAACAACTAATTATTTGCTTTACAAGGTCATAAGCCGAAGTCACTAGATGTTTTGTATGTACTTTTCCAAATAATTTTTGGTTGATATCTAAACGAAAATTTCCGCAAAGAATATTCCTGTGCATATATTCCACGTTTACAATGTATATCAGACTTCATGTTTGTATACTAGAATATAAAACATCAGGTGGAAAATTAATTACATTGGCAGTATATTCTATGATTTTCTTAAGTGATTTCCTGGTCATTTCTCATTGACTATTTCAATCAATGGATAAATCAGTGGTGTACGCTGGGTGATCAGAAAGTTCGCGAACTAATTGAATTGCTTCCTTAAAAGAAATAAATTGAGGTTTCAGTGTTTATTATTTTTTAAAGTAGTCCTCTCCGATTTTAATGCACATCTGCCATCGTTCTACCCATGCGCGAATCACAGGCAGTCACGTGACATGCTCCGTAGTAGCTAATAGATTACCATGCAAGCTATTTTTTATAACAAGAACAGTCCATCTGTCAGAAATGGCCAAATCTCGGCAATAGGATGGGTGAATAAGGATATTCCTTCCCACAATTAGTATGGTGACCCATCACAACCCGAGTCCTCTGTCTCGAGAGCGTCGTTTATCCAATGTGGATAAAGTATGAGCGCCTTCTTTTTATCATATCTCATATATTTAAAGTCTAAAGTAAACGGTATTTTAGGGATATAATAATTTTATTATTGTTAAGATATTCAACCATTATTCTATTTGTAACTTGACGATGTTTCATAAAAAATTGCTCAACTAAGGACACATCTTTTCCCCGGCTAGTCCGAAATATCTGACGTTTTCCAGGCTTTTTCACGATTTTGATATTTTACGTGCCAGGAAAACGTCAGAACCGGCGCAATTACGAAAACTGGGAATTCGCCGCCTCCAACCAGAGGCGGCATTCTCGGGTTGATTTTCGGTACTTGCAAAGCGAATGAAATGTCAAACTCACAATTTGTCAATAGTACAATGCTTTTAGTACTCACCAACATCGTTTTTATGGTTTGTTTATGAAATAAACAATCCGATGAAAACATTTTATCTGACTGTCGAGATTTGTTATCATTTCGTGCATTTTAAAATCTTTCAAGTCCCGTATCGAAATGATGAGTGATGTTTTCTTTTCGTCGATATTGGTGAGTACTAGAAGTATTGTGCTATTGATAAATTGTGAAAACGACATTTAATTCGGTTTCCAGGTATCGAAAATCAACTCCGATTGGAGACGGCGAAATTTCCAGTTTTCGTAATGGCGCCGGTTCTGACGTTTTCCTGGCACGTAAAATATCAAAATCGTGAAAAAGCCTGCAAAACGTCAGATATTTCGGACTATTCCCCGGCTTGCTTTCGCTGGGCAACAGAACAAACATCATTTTTAACCATCTTCCTGTCTTCACTTAAAGGTGCTTGGACACAGATTTGAAGTTAATATTTTCTCAAATTTTCGGTGTAATATCATGACTTATATATTTTTATAGTATTTCACATGGAAATAAAATAAAAAAAAAACTTATTCTATCTGGAAATTACTGAAACTACAAATTTCGAGACGCGTTTGATTGACACATCAATGCATTTTCAAAAAGTAAACTTTATCCTTAATACTTAAGAAAAGTAGAGATTTTGTTGTGAATTAATGAAAAATATTAACCATAATCCAGAAAATAAAGAGTAGAAATGTGAGAAAGCAAAACTAACTCACCAGTATTGTCAGTCCATGCTCAGTGATGTGTGCAGAGTTTAACAAATTGAACACACCCGTGAAACGTAAACTGTTTTTGTAAACAGGGCACGAGCTCTGTTATTGTTAATGTTTACGTTTCACCGGGTGCGTTCAATTTGTTAAACTCTGCACACATCACTGAGCACGGACTGACAATACTGGTGAGTTGGTTTTGCTTTCTTATATTTCTACTCTGAATTTTCTTGACTATAGTTTGAATATATTTCATTAATACACAACAAAAATTTTACTTTTCTTAAGTATCAAGGATAAAGTTTGCTTTATGAAAGTGCTAGGATGTATCAATCAAACGCGTCCTGAAATTTGTAGTTTCAATAATTTCCAGATAAAATACTTTTTTTTAATTTTATTTAAATATTTTCAACCTTCAAACGGAATCGGACAATTTTGACCCATTCCTGTATTGCCTTAGTGTGGGGCAACATGAAAAACATAATGAACATATTCAAACGGATTTAAATTTGCGAGATATTGTCCCCCAAAATTTGGTAACGTTCTAGAGGGAAAACAGTGTCTTACGCCGGTTGACCCCAGATTGACCCCTCAAAGGGAAATAACTTTTGTAAACGTGAAATTAGTCTATTTATCATGTCTGTTTCACTCCAAGTTTTTGAATAGACACATGTATATATCACGTTCATGTATATGTGACTGCAATATACAGCATTGTGTATATCTGATCAAGATGTCGCGCGTGATATTAAGAATGGCTATTATTCCTTATAGATTTCACGACATTTGACGATAAATGACCATCTCTTGAATGTTTGTCTAAGCAAGACAGCGAGACGTCGATCAATTAATCAAGGAATGGACATTAACATACAAGACGTATCTGGTATTAAAAGTAGGATGGGGATATCGTTTTCAGCGTGTGAAATTGATTTTCTCGATAAGTGGGGGTAAATGGGCAAATAATTACATCTAGCACTGACCATAAACATGTAAACATAGGAAGTAGAGGATAACTAAAAGTGAAACTTGAAGGGATTCATTTATTAAAACCAGACTGTCTAATAATAACGGGAAAAATCGTTGATGTA